TTGTTGTTGTTGTTGTTGTTGTTTTTGAGACAATCTTGCTCTGTCACCCAGGCTGGCATGCAGTGGCATGATCTTGGCTCACTGCAACCTCTGCCTCCCGGGTTCAAGCAATTCTTGTGCCTCAGCCTCCTGAGTAGCTGGGATTACAGACATGCACCACTGCGTCTGGCTAAATTTTGGATTTTTAGTAGAGAAGGGGTTTCACCATGTTGGCCAGGCTGGTCTCAAACTCCTGACCTTAGGTGATTCATCTGCCTCGGCCTCCCAAAGTGCTGGGACTACAGGCATGAGCCACTGCCCCCGGCCCAGAATTTTTTAATGTATTTCCCAAAATCACTTTTTTGTGGGAGGGGAGGGAGCAGGAGAGTTGGATATTTTAAAAGTAAATCACAAGTATGTCATTGCACACATAAGTAGTAGGTATCACAACATACGGAATTTTTTACACATAACCCACAAGGCCATTATTTCACCCGATACAAACATGCTTATACTTTAATATGTCCTAAGACCCAATCTGTGTTCGTATTTCCCTAATTGTCTTAAAATGTCTTTTCCACAGTGGATTTGTTTGACTGAAGCTCCCAACGAGGCCCCTACATGGCATTTGGTTGCTATCTCTCTTAAATCTCTTATATAACAGTTTACCCTCCGTCCCTTTTTTTCCAAGACATTCATTTGTCAAAGAAACCATGTTGTTTGTTGTCTCTGTAGAGTTCTGTGAATCTCTGAAAGTGTTATCTGAATGGAAAATTAAATCTTCAGATTGTTTTTCACTTTAAGGAAAGATTAAGGGGAATGAATTTGTGATAGATGCATAGAAAATTAAGCAAATGAGGCCGGGCGCGGTGGCTCATGCCTGTAATCCCAGCACTTTGGGAGGCCGAGGCGGGTGGATAACCTGAGATCGGGAGTTCAAGACCAGCCTGACCAACATGGAGAAACCCCGTCTCTACTAAAAAAAAGAATACAAAATTAGCCAGGCATGGTGGCGCATGCCTGTAATCCCAGCTACTCGGGAGGCTGAGGCAGGAGAATCGCTTAAACCCGGGAGGCGGAGGTTGCAGTGAGCCGAGATCGCGCCATTGCACTCCAGCCTGGGCAAAAAGAGGGAAACTCCGTCTCAAAAAAAAAAAAGAAAAAGAAAAGAAAATTAAGCAAATGAAAAACCAAGCAGTACTTACTGCAGGAGAAACAGAATGTCTGGGGAAGGAATTATTATACTTACAGTGCACTTCTTGAATCAGCTTGAGTAATTGTTTCACAGTTCTAGTAGTGTAAATGCAGAATAATGATATCAGAAAACTACAGAAAAATGTGGAAAGTAATAGAAGAGCTACATTTTCATATTATCTTCATAGTAGTCAATAGATTAACCCCCCAAACTGAAAATAATTAACATTAGCAGCATAAATCTGATGTGATAATAGGATAAATACCAGAAGAAATAACCAGACGTACCAGAAAGAGTTGAAAATAATTACTTCCAGCAAGTGGGAATTGAGAGTGAAAGGGAATGGGGTAAGGATCTGCTGATTTTAAAGTGGCATCAGATTTCGCCAAAAAAAATAACTCTTGGCTGTGGGCGGTGGCTCACGCCTGTAATCCCAGCACTTTGGGAGGCCGAGGTGGGTGGATCACTTGAGGTCAGGAGTTCGAGACCAGCCTGGCCAACATGGTGAAACCCCGTCTCTACTAAAAATACAAAAATTAGCCAGGTGTGGTGGTGTGTGCCTGTAATCCCGGTTACTGGGTGGCTGAGGCACGAAAATGGCTTGAACTCAGGAGGCGGAGGTTACAGTGAGCTGAGATCGTGCCACTGCACTCTAGCCTGGGTGAAAGAGAGAGACTCTGTCTCAAAAAACAAACAAAAAACCTCTTTAAAAAGATCAGGTTTGTTTAGTTGGTGTTGGTGGAAGCTAAAATCTGAGAATGGATAGGTTAAGACTCCAGGAACTCTTCAGGCTGCATTTGGCCAGTTTAGTAAAAGAGTATAACTCCCCTTGCCCTCAGAGTTCAGGACAGTGGGCAGAGCACAGAGAAGGTTCGCCAGCCTGCACTGTCTCCCACCTGTTCTCCCTTTTGTTTATTTGCTCACGCCTGCCAGAGCAACCAGCCTGAACGAAAATGCCAGGCAACTGTCCTGGGCTCTGTCTAATCAGGAGATTTCATCATCGCCAGCCCCATCTTCTTTGCCTCTTCCTTCCCTCTCTTTCCTTGGGGAGTCACAACTTTCAGCTCTGTTGGTTTGAAGTCAACAGAGATCCAAACTGGAGGGCCTATTTTCATGGACTCAATTAACTCCTAACATAGTAGGGGCTGCCTGGAAGGCCTGGGGTTTCCATCGCCCCCACTTTCCTCTTTCAGGTTCTTCCAGAGGGGCAGGAGGGTGTCATTACTATTAAGAGCACTGGTTCTGGCTGGGGCGTAGTAACTCATGCCTGTAATCCTAGCACTTTGGGAGGGCGAGGCAGGCTGATCACCTGAGGCCAAGAGTTTGAGACTAGCCTAGCCAACATGGCGAAACCCTGCCTCTACTAAAAATACAAAAGCAAGACTCTGTCTCCAAACACAGCACTAGTTCTAAAGTCAGGCCTCTCCCTTCGTTGCTGCACGACCTTTACCAAGTTATTGAACTTCTCTGAGCTTCAGCTTGCCAGCTGTATAATGGAAAGCATAACACCTAGGGTTGTCATGAGGACTTAAAAAGAATAATGGTGTGTAGCATAGTTTTTGGCAGACCAAGTGCTTGGTAAACAGGAGATATTGACCACCCCTTGTATACTTGGAGTCATCTTCCACTTATCCCCGCCGTCCCAGAGTCTCCAGAAGGATGCTGGGAGCTCCATCTGGAGCTGAGATACTCCCCATCCACACCTGCGTCTCGTGTTCCCCACTTAAACATTCACCTCCACCCCAGCCAGTCTCCTCTTTCCATAGGATCAGCTTTCGCCTTGCCTCTAGCCAAAGAGATCCTAATCTCTCTTGCCTTTGTTTGGAATCTCAGAACCCCTGCCAGTTGGTAGTTTAGAAACGCGATGGGATTGGGGCCCCTGGTTCTAAAGAGGGCAGCCAGGAAGCAGCCAGATGGTCCTGTATGGACTGGAAGGTCAGGCACTCACACACCTGCCCTCCTCAGGAGAAACTGAGGAAGGGAACCAGGCCAGCTCTGAGCCTGCGGAGGGAATCTCAACATCTCCAAAGGAGGCTCCCAGCGAGTTCACAAGGGGAAGTGAGAGGAAGGATCCAGACTCCTCAGCTTCTGTAGGGGGCCCTAGCACTGCCTTCTGGCCAATACTGCTCACAGGGGAAAAGATACAGGTGCCCCAGAGGAAGTCAGGATGCTGTCAGGAAGGGACATGGTTATTGCACAACCCTCCAAAATGTCAATTAGCTCTATGTAGAATCAGGATCCAGTTAACTTCCTACAAGATTGTAACAACTGGATAAATCTAACAAGATAAACAACAAACAAATGTAGAATCTTGCATTAAGCGTCAATAAACCAGTTGTACATGAAGAGATGGGAACACCTTACTACTAGATCAGTTGGGTAACATGATGTGGCGGCTAGAAACATTAATTCAGTGTGAGGCCGTATGAATGGAGGAGAGTCCTGGAAAGGAGAGGTGCAGGTTCAGCTTTACTCCCAACGAGGTTCATTTCCAAGAGTCCGACTTTAAGGGGGGCATTGTTGAGCTGGTAAGAAGCAAACAGCGACGAGATCCCACATGGTGAGAACCCAGAATGCTGTCCTGCAAGGAACAGCTGAAAAAGAGTGTTTATTCTGGAGAAAGAAGACTCTAGAGAAACGAGAGATGCCTTTACAATTCTGAAGGGGCTGTCCAACAAGGAAAACAGAGCTGGTCAGGTCATGTGGTGAAATGGGTAAGGCCTGCACTCTCTCCCAGAGTCAAACAGCTGAATGCAGGCCCCACCATTTACCAGCCATTAGGGATGGGATATTCTTCAAACCGCAACATGTCAGACACGACTGGGGGCTGAGTATTGCTTTTCTGTGAGAGCTAGAGGTAGGAAGCCTTTGGGAGGGAGATGTCAGCTCAGCCCTAGGAAGAATTTTTTCTTTTTCTTTTTTAAGTTAAATTTAATATTTTATTTGATACAGGGTCTCTTTTTGTCACCCAGGCTGGAGTGCAGTGGTGCGACCTTGGCTCACTGCAACCTCTGGCTCCTGGACTGAAGTGATCCTCCCACGTAACCCTCCTGAGTAGCCGGGACCCAGGTGCGCACCACCACACTTGGCTAATTTTTTTTTTTTGGTAGAGATGGGGTTTTGCCATGTTGCCCAGGCTGGTCTCGAACTCCTGGGTTCAAGCAGTCCTCCAGCCTTGGCCTCCCAAAGTGCTGGGAATATAGGCATGAGCCATTACACAGGCCAAATTTTCTTCTTTCTTTCTCTCTCTCTCTCTCTCTTTTTCCCTCCCTTCCTCCCTCCCTTTCTCTCTCTCTCTCTCTTTCTCTTTCTTTTCTTTTCTTTTTTTTTTTGTGACAGAGTCTTGCTGTATTGCCCAGGCTGGAGTGCAGTGGTCATTGCACTCCAGTGACACAGCTTGTGGTCAATGGACAGAGTGGTCAGTGCGCTCCAGTGACACTCCAGTGGCCATAGCTTACTGCAACCTTGACCTCTTGGGCTCAAATGATTCTCCTGCCTCAGCCTCTGGAGTAGGTAGGACTACAGGCATGTACCACAATGCCCAGCTAGTTTATTATTATTATTATTATTATTTTAAATGTAAAAAAGTCTCACCATCTTGCCCATGCTGGTCTTGAACTCCTGGGCTCAAAATGGTCCTCCTGTGTAGGCTTCCCAAAGTGCTGGGATTACAGGTGTGAGCCACTGCACCCAGTCCTGTCTCATTTTTGATAACCACATATATTTCCTGTATGGATTTCCCTTAAAGAATTGAGCTTAATAGTGGGTGTTTAGTATATCAAGAGGTGTTCAAAGAAAGACCAGGAACATTTCGACAGTGTTTACCAGCCCCATATGCAGACCCATAGATTTTACTACCATGCCTCGGCTAGGCAATTATCTGGTAGGTGCACTAGTTCACGTGCACAATGATGTGTTAAGCGTTATGCCTGCTCCATTATTCCTGCTAGCAAAAGGCTAGAAACAACCTGTGTCCAATCACAGGGGACAGGATGAAGAACAATAACTAGCTGACCATATGCTGGAATTCTGAACAGTGGATACAAGAAATGAGATAAATCTATAGATATTTACATGAAAAATGTGCCAGAATATATTGTAAAGTGAAAAAGGCAAATTACAGAAATGTGTACAGTGGCCGGGCACGGTTGGTCACCTCTGTAATCCCAACAGTTGGGGGGGCTGAGGTGGGCTGATCACCTGAGGTCAGGAGTTCGAGACCATCCTGGCCAACATGGTGAAACCCTGTCTCTACCAAAAATATAAAAATTAGCCCGGCATGGTGTTGCATGCCTATTATCCCAGTTACTAGGGGAGGCTGAGGCAGGAGAATCACTTGAACCTTGGAGGTGGAGGTTGCAGTGAGCCGAGATCACCACGCCACTGCACTCCAGCCTGGGCCACAGAGCAAGACTCTGTCTCAAAAAAAAAAAAAAAAAAGTGTACAGTATGACGTCATTTCTATTTAAGCTATACATGTAATTGTGCATTGAAAATAATCTGAAGGATACATACCAAGCTGTAGGTAGGATTTACCTAAAAGGGTATAGGGATACAAAGAGGAAGTGAGCTCCCCGTCCCATGAGGTATGCAAGCAGAGGCTAGCTGCCCCGTTTTCAGGGATGCTGCAGAAGGCATTTCCACATTCCTCAGAGATGACCTCGGTTCCACTCAGACCTGAGAATCCCTGAGCGAGGGGAAGTCAGGGTTGGGAGAAGAGTCCACCCCTAAGGGGAAAGAGTTAAGCAGGGCTGCGCTCCTGTGGGCGGGCTCGCGATCTGCAGCGCCGGGCTCTGTTAGCCGAGTCTGAGCATCTCGGAGGATGCGGCGCGGCGAGCGGCTGCAGCGACGCGCGCAAGGTGAACGCGGGGGCTGCGGCGCGCAGGTGAGGAGCTGGCCCAGGGAGGGGGCGATGGCTGGGCCCCGGCGGGGAGCGTGGCCTGCTGCCCCCGTCGCGGGCGCAGGCGACAAGGCCTGCACGGCGCCCACCCCCATCCAGCACACTGCGGGAAGGCGCGGAGCCAGGGAGAGCGGAGACGGAGAAGGAGGAGGAGGAGGAGGAGAGGTAACCCGAGATGGACCAGCTCCGAGGCTGCCCTGCAGCGGCCTCGCCCTGCCCCCAGGCCGGCCTCTCCCCAGTCCCTGCGACAGAGAGATCCGCCACCCCCACAGCCTCTCCAGCAGTGGGAGCCCAGGGCTGGGCAAGCCCCGGCCTTGTCCGCAGGTGCCCACATCTCTTGGGTTGGCGGTGGTAGGCAGATGGCATGTTTATCTTTGGAGGCCCCATTCAGCCCTCCAAAGGCAAAGCGTTTTGGACCTCATGTGGAGGATGAGCCTCCGAGGGTTTCACAACCCCGATTGTGTCCACTCAGCTGTGTGACCTTGGGGGAGTTGCTCACCCTCTCTGAACCCCCGTTTCTTCTCCTTGTGAAATGGCTAGTCCCACACCTTGTATTGGGAGGGCGGAATGACATGTTGCTAAGCTTAGCACAGGAGCCTAACTGGGGAAGAACTAAACACAGGGGCACTGTTTTTAGCCAGTACCTGTGTTAGGGGCCTCTCAGCACACCCCTACTCTCAACCCTGGAGCTAAGCCCTGTCTCTGGGCCCCCAGCACCTATCCTAGACCAGGAGCAGCCCACGAGGCTCCATGAATGTTTGAGAAATGAACTAACAAGGCTTTAAGACAGAGTCTAAACTCAAGTTTGGAGGATGGGACTCAGAGGTCTTTGAACCCCTTGAAATTGTCCACAACTTTTGGTGAGCCAGGATCTTTTTGCTGGGAGAGCATCAGGGATTTTCAGTGGCTTCTTAAGGTGTCTATGAGCCACCACGGGTTAAGAGCCTGGAAGCTTTGGGGACAGCTGCTCCCCAGAGAGGAAAAGAGCAGGGCCTCTGCCCCCAAACACACCCAGGCCTCAGCTCTCGCAGCCTCCATGCACCCTCTCCTGGTGGTGCCTCCCTGGCCCACCGACAGGCTCTCGGGAACAGGAACTTTTAGGGGATATCCACCTGGGGCCAGGTATATACTGGAGGCTGCAGGTTTGAAATAAGAGATTATTACAGAATCAGACCAGGGTGACAAGTGCCCAGGAAGGTGAGGGAAGGAAGGCGGGAAGAGGAATGTCTAAGCTGAAACAAGTCACCATCCTATCTTACCTGGGTGTTTACACTGGCGTCTCTCTCCCCGTCTTTTTTTTTTTTTTTTTTTGAGATGGAGTCTCGCTCTGTCGCCCAGGTTGGAATGCAGTGGTGCAATCTTGGCTCACTGCAACCTCCATCTCCTGGCTTTCAAGTGAGTCTCCTGCCTCAGCCTTCTACGCAGCTTGGATTACAGGCACACACCACCATGCCTGGCTAATTTTTGTATTTTTAGTAGTGATGGGATTTCACCATGTTGGATAGCCTGGTCTCAAACTTCTGACCTCAAGTGATCCGCCCACCTAGGCCTCCCAAAGTGCTGGGATTCCAGGTGTGAGCCACAGCACCTGGCCTCTCTCCGTTTTTTAAAACACGAATAAGGCTTTGTCATCCCCGTGCTTTCCATCCCCACTAGCTGCCTGTGACATGTGGAATAAAATTCAGGTGCTGCGTCGTGGCCTACAAGACACCTGTGACCTCACTCCGCCTTCCTGATTTTCATTTCCTGTGCTCCAGCAGCACTTGTGTTCTTTTTTTTTTTTTAGACAGAGTCTGACTCTGTCGCCCAGGCTGGAGTGCGATGGTGTAATCTCAGCTCACTGCAACCTCTGCCTCCCGGGTTCAAGTGATTCTCCTGCCTCAGCCTCCCAAGTAGCTGGGATTACAGACACCCGCCACCATGCTTGGCTAATTTTTGTATTTTTAGTAGAGATGGGGTTACACCATGTTCGCCAGGCTGGTCTCAAACTCCTGGCCTCAAACAATGTACCAGCCTCAGCCTCCCAAAGTGCCCTGGGATTACAGGCCTGAGTCATTGTGCCCAGCCCACACTCCTATTATTTCTTGAACTCACCCAGCTCATTCCTGCCTCAGAGCCTCTGTACTTGCTGTTCCCTCTGCTAAATGCCTTTTCCCCAAATCTTCAAAGAGCTGACTCTTTCTTATTCAGCATTTAGCTTAAATGTCACCTCAGAGAGGACATCCTGGTACCCCCTGTGTAAATGGCCTCTCATCCATCTCTTAGCCCTCTTTTATTTTCTTCATAGCTCATCTTATTTAAAAGTATGTATCATCGTCTCTCCCCTAGAATGCCGTTTGCGAGGGCAGTCTCATCAGTGTTTTTCACTGCTTTATCATCAGGGCCTGGCACATAGTGTGTGTGCAAATTATTTGTTGAAATAGTTAAGGGGAATGGAGAGACAGAAAGCTTTCTGGACAGAGGGAAAAGTGAAAGGGTTCTAATGCATTTCAAGCGTCAGGTATGAACCTCGCCCATATGTGTTTGGTTATTTAAGTCTTATAAGAGCCGCCTCAAGTTAGACAGGCTTATTATCCCCCATTTTACTGATGGGGAAACTACGATGCAGAGAAGTCAAATGACTCCCCCAGGAAATGAAGATGTTGGGATTCAAACTCAGGCCCCTCCCCAAAGGCAGGTGCATATTCCTCTCCCTCTCCACCTCTCTCATTTTTGAAGTGGGCTTTAGGAATAACATTTCAGGCTGGGCGCAGTGGCTCATGCCTGTAATCCCAGCACTTTAGGGGGCCAAGATGGGCAGATCACCTGAGGTCAGGAGTTTAAGACTAGCCTGGCCAACATGGTGAAACCCTATCTCTTAAAAATATAAAAATTAGCCAGGTGTGGTGGCACATGTCTGTAACCCCAGCTACTCAGGAGGCTGAGGCAGGAGAATCACTTGAACCCGGGAGGTGGAGGTTGCAGCAGTGAGCCGAGATCACACCACTGTACTCCAGCCTGAGCATCAGAGTGAGACTATGTCTCAAAAAAAAAAAAAAAAAGAACAGGATTTCAGCAAGTGAAGGAGAAGGGAGAGAGCATTTCCGCAGAAGCAAAGGCATGGGAGTCACACAGTCCAGTGGATGTTGGAGGACAGATGAACAGCCTGTGGTGGCCAGGGTCTTGGAAGGCCAGGAGAGGAGCTTATGTTCTTTCCTGAGGGAAATGGGGAGCCACTGAAGGTTTTAAAGCAGGCAAGTGCCACATCCAGCAGTTTTAAAAGCAGAGAAGCTGCTGCCTTGCATTGTTTTTCTTTCCTGCCAGCCCCTTGAGGAAGGCATGGGGGCCCTCAGCCCTCACATGTCATTCCCCCTGTTTTTTTTTTTTAGGCTCATCCAGTGAGGACTGGAAGGTGGGGGCTGTAGGCCCAGGCATCGGAGTAGACCATGGCCTCCAGCCCATGGGGCTGTGTATGTGGCTTTCTGCTGTTGTTGCTGCTGCCACTCCTGGGGACTGGCCCTGCCCTGGGGAGGGGCTTTCCCAGGCCACTTGAAAACTCCAAAACCCCTATGATTCCTGGAGCCCACCCTAAGGGCTCTTTGGGCTCAGAGCCCCACTCCTTTGACATCTTCCTGGACAACCCCAGAGCTGAGAGTCACAGGAATTCTGATGTCCGCCACGCCCCTGCTGACGAGATGCCTGAGAAGCCTGTAGCCTCTCCCCTTGGCCCAGCCCTGTACGGGCCCAAAGCAGCCCAAGGGGCTCAGAGAGAACGACTCCCAGTAACTGATGACCTCCAGATGGCTCGAGGACAAAGCTCCCATGGCTGGACAGGACCTCTGGATTCACAAGAGCTTCTGGAGCAAGAAGCAGTGGCTCCACACCCAGTGGGCCACCCTCATCTCACTTTCATCCCTACAACTCCCAGACTTCAACTCAGGGTAGCCACAGTTCCTCCCTCCCTGCAGCATGGAGGCCAACAGGGACAGCAGCCACCTAGAGATGAGGGTCTGAAGGCCAAAACCAAGAGCAGGGTCCCACCCACTTCTCCCTCAGACTACCAGGGCCCACCCCACACCCTTGTTCCCCACTCAGGTACTGTCAAGAGGCCAGTCCTGGAAGGACAGGGTGGGTCTGAGGAACACTTCCAGGAGGCAGCTCAAGGCCCCCTCTTCACCCAGCAGGATCCAGCAGCCTCTGATGTTGGCTCAGTTCCCCCAGTTGAGGTGGTGTACTCTCAGGAGCCAGGGGCCCAGCCAGACTTGGCATTGGCCAGAAGCCTTCCTCCTGCTGAGGAGCTGCCGGTTGAGACCCCCAAGAGGGCTGGAGCTGAGGTGTCCTGGGAAGTCAGCTCCTCAAGTCCGCTGCCCAAGCAGGTTGACCTCCCTGACGCTAAGGATTCACCAGGACCCCAGCCCATGGATCCGCCTGCCTCAGAGGCTCCTGATGGGCCGTCCAAGCCAGGTTGGTATCAGTGAGCGTGTTGAGTGATGTTCCGGGGCAGCTGGATGCCTCAATTCTGTTTGACCCTGGGTCCCTCTAGGTCTCATTTTCCTCTCTGTGGCAAATGAAGGTGATTGTGACTCAATCCTGAGGGATTAGGAGCACCATAGGAGGGTCAGGTAACTACTGCTTAGTTATAGTCAGATGACTACTTTGTCATTTCAGAGAAAGCAGCAATGAATGGAGCAGACCCCATCTCCCCCCAGCGGGTGAGAGGAGCCGTGGAGGCCCCAGGCACCCCCAAGCCCCTCATCCCTGGTCCCTCAGACCCTGGCCCAGCTGCAAACCGAACAGAGAGCCCCATGGGGGCCCTGCAGCCAGGTGAGGGCATGGCTGGGGTGTGGGGAGAGGGAGTGCTCTGTCTAGTAACTGGGAACCTCTGTTGGGGGTGTGTGAGGGGTGGAGGGCAGGGAATGAATGGAGACAATCACCTGCTTAAAGGAGTTGCCCAGGGCCTCCTTCAAACAGCCTAGGATAATAAATTCATACTCACTGGGAAATCTGGGAGAAGTCATTTGCCCTTTTGGGGCTAGAATGTTCTAATATGTAACATCGATATGTTTTAGAACAACAACAAAAAAAATACAAAAATTAGCTGGGTGTGGTTGTGCATGCCTGTAGTCCCAGCGATTCTGGAGGTTGAGGTGGGAAATCCCTTGACCTGGAGGTCAAGGCTGCAGTGAGCACTCATTGCACCACTGCACACCAGCCTGGATGACAGAATGAGAACCTGTCTCAAAAAAAAAAAAAAAAAAAAAAAAAAAAAAATTTCAATGCCCAAGCCACGTTCCAAGAAATTCTTATTCCTTGGCCTCCAGACGATTCTATTATGCAGCCCATGTGTTGAACTGCTGGGGTACTACCTCCCTGATAGTACCCTGAAATAAAAACGATCGGGGACATCCATTTAGCACTTACTGGGTGTTGGGCACCATGCTAAACATTCCATCTTCTTCACAACCCAATGAGGCAGGTGCTGTTATCTCCATTTTGCAGATTTGCTTGGAAAAGTTAAATGACTTGCCAACCACACTAGAGGGTGATAGAAAATCAAAAGCACTTTTCAAAAGGCGATTTTAATATTGTTATCATTGCAGATGACGCCGAGGAGTGGCCGGGGCGCCCCCAAAGCCATCCCCCAGCACCCCCAGTCCAGGCCCCCTCGACGTCACGCCGGGGCCTCATTCGAGTCACCACACAGCGAGCCCTGGGCCAGCCTCCCCCTCCGGAGCCCTCAGCCAGCTCCATGGCTTCAGCCCCAGCCTCCAGCCCCCCAGCCAATGCCACTGCACCCCCGCTACGCTGGGGCCCCCTGCGGCGGGTCCTGAGCTTCTCCTGGGAGCTGCACGTCTACGGGGTGGGGGTGCTCTTTCTGCTGCCCGCATTGTTGGCGCTGGCTGCGCTGGCAGCCGCCCCAGCAGGGCCCCGGCTGGCATTGGTGGCCGCGGTGCTGGTGCTTGTGGCTTCAGGGCTGCGATCCGCCTACATGCTTACCGACCCTTATGGCTCGCAGGCGCGGCTGGGCGTTCGTGGGGGCTTGGTGCTCTACAACCTGCCCTTCCCCTTGCTGCTCACGGCGCTGGCGGCCCTGACTCTGCTCGGCCTGGGCGCGGGGCTGCCGCCACTACTGCAAAACTCACTCCTGCTGGGAGCAGTGGCGTTGGTGCATGGTGTGGGGTTGCTCGCGACAGACCTGCTGTCCACATGGTCTGTGCTCAACCTCCTTATGCAAGGCTTGTCGTGCGCCTGGGGCGCGGCCGTGGCTCTAGGCACGCTCTGCCTGTGCCGTCGCCGCCTGCTGGACGGCCCACGGGGCTGGGATGCCAGCCCGGGCCCTCGGCTCTTGGCCGTGGCGGGCGCGCTGGGGCTGCTGGCCAGCGGCTTGCAGCTGGCCGCTGCGCTCTGGCTGTACCCGGGCCCAGGTCGCGTGGGCCGCTTCTCGTGGGCCTGGTGGGGTGTGCACTTCTGGCTGCGCCTCCTGGAGCTGACATGGGCGCTCGCCCTGGCGCTGGCCGCGGTGGCTGCCGCGAGACCCAGGCCGCCCACGGAGCACGCTTGCTGGGCTAAGCTGATGCGTCTGGCGTGCCCGGCGCCGTCGGGCAAGAGCGAGGTGCCGGAGCGACCCAATAACTGCTATGCGCGGCCCAGCAGCGTTGGTGCAGGCAGCTTGGACATCAGCAAGAGCCTCATCCGCAACCCGGCGGAGAGTGGGCAGCTGGCCACGCCCAGTTCAGGCGCCTGGGGCTCGGCTGCGTCGCTGGGTCGCGGACCCCAGGGTGGCCCAGGACTGTCCCGCAACGGTGTGGGACCGGCGCCATCGCTGAGCGAGCTGGATCTGCGGCCGCCATCGCCCATCAACCTGAGCCGTAGCATCGACGCCGCGCTCTTCCGCGAGCACCTGGTGCGAGACAGTGTGTTCAAGCGCTGCGGCCTCCGCGGCGTGGCCTCCCCGCCGCCTGGAGGCGCTCTGCGGCCGCGTCGGGGCAGCCATCCCAAAGCCGACCTCGACGACGCTGGCTCCTCGCTCCTCCGCGGCCGCTGCAGGTCGCTCAGCGACGTGCGCGTGCGCGGGCCGGTCCCACAACACGTAGTGGAAGAGCTCGACGGGGCAGCCGCGGTGGCTTCTGGCAGCTCCCTGGACAGCTTCTCCAGGGGCTCACTCAAGATCAGTTGGAACCCCTGGCGCCACGGGCTGTCATCAGTGGACAGTCTGCCCCTAGATGAGTTGCCCAGCACAGTACAGCTACTGCCTGCCCCGACCCCAGCCCCTGACTCTACCGCTGCTCGGCCGGGGAACGGCCAGGGAGAGGTCCAGCCGCGCGGCAAGCCTGGGGAATCCCGCAGCGCCTCCAGTGATACCATCGAGCTTTGAGGAGCGGTCCTGACGCAGGGCTAGGACCCTGGCCGATGCCCACATGGCATGGCCGACTGGGACAGTTGAGCCTTTAAAAAATGGGTATCCTGGCCGGGCGCGGTGGCTCACGCCTGTAATCCCAGCACTTTGGGAGGCCAAGGTGGGCGGATCACGAGGTCACGAGTTCGAGCCCAGCCTCTTAGTCTCGAACATAGTGAAACCCTCGTCTCTACTAAAAATACAAAAAAATAGCCAGGTGGCACACGCCTGTAGTCCCAGCTACTCGGGAGGCTGAGGCGGGAGAACTGCTTGAACGGGAAGACGGAGGTTGCAGTGAGCCAAGACCACGCCATTGTACTCCAGCCTGGGTGACAGAGTGAGACTCCGTCTCAAAAAAAAAAAAAAAAAAAAAAAAAACAACCAGGCCTCCACCTGACGACAGCCCCCGGGGGACAGCCAGGTTTGAACTCACCCCACCCCCATGCCCTGTTTTTTGCTTTTAATATTTCTGGTTTTCAGCCGGTATTTTGCACAGAGGCTGTGTCTTATGCGGAATACAGGGTGGGTATGCATGGATTTGGGCATGAAGAACAGGGAGCAGGTGCCCCAGACTCCCCAACATGGAGTGATGAGCCTCGCTTGTCTAGACTGTCCTCTTTGTGCCAAAGAAATAAACCCTTAGGACTTGGCTCATGCTTCCCACTGGCCATGCCAGGATCCTGTATTCATAGAAGGAAGGAGAGACTGGAGGCCCTGCCTCCCAGTCATTCTAAGTCCTGTGTATTGGACAGAGGGGAGGACTTTGAGGAGAGGTTGCTTGAGGCTTGGAGGCCCTGGTCATAATGGCGACCACACTTATTGAACATCTCTTGTGTACTGTCCAGGTCTTCACATTTATGACCTAATTTAATTCTCATGTTAAATCTGAGTGGAAAGCATTATGAAGCCCATTTGAGGAAAGAGAAGAGTGAAGTTCAGAGGCAAAAGTCATCTGTCCAGGGTCCTTTGCCAAATGACAGCTGGCATGGAACCATCCTAAGGCTGGTTCCTCTACCCTCCTTCTCCTAACAGCACTTCAGGGGCAACCTTCTCCTCTATCTTTTCTCCACTCACCATCAGGGAAGCCCTCAATTTCCCAGGATTCTAGGAAATTTCCCTAAGGTGGGGGGTGGTGGAACAGGTAGTAAGACTGAAGCCTTTTAACTTTCCAAGACCTTTCTTTATTTCCTGAGATGAATAAATAAATGGCAATGAGGGATGGGGATGTGGTGAACACAGAACGAGCTGGCAGGAGGGGGCTGGCATGCAGCTGGCAGGAGGGGGCTGTGACAGCCCCACCACTGTGAGGACCCCCTCATCCTGAGCAGGGGCCAAAGCTCACTAGCAGCCACCATTAAGGAAAAACTTCTGAAATTCACACATTGTGAAGCCTGCCAGTCCCCGCCAGGTGAAGAACTCATGGTCTCCACCTTCAGGGCTACTTTTTACCCTAGGGGCCTTGTCTGCCCAGACCTGGGTACCTGGGCTGCTCTGTAAGGCAGGTAGGGTTGCTTACCCTACTCTCAAAAATAAACCAAGCTGTCCTGAGTGTCCAGCAGGAGGGCAGCCCAAGCTCTGGGGGCAGCGTAGGTGGGAGGAGATCCTACAAGTGGTGGCCAAGATTATCTGCCCTTGATGAAGCCCTCCAGCACACGGTCACTGCGCTCTGACAACCAGTAGCCAGTCATGGCTGCCACAGCCCCGATGAAAATGGCAGTGAACACCAAGTCGCCCTTAGCAGCCAGCGTGGCCAGTGCACAGATGATGACGCCAAAGAACATCTGCTGCAGCACCACCAACTCGTCCTCTGTCATCTCTGAGAAGAAGCCCGCCGACTCTGCAGAGGAGCGAGAGATGCAGCCTGGCACTCATATCCCTGTTCCTGGCAGTTCTTGGAGCCTCCCCAGAACTCCCATGCACCTGATCATCATGGCCACCAGGCCTGCCCAGCAAGCCAGGCACACAACATTTACTGCTCAAAACCACGCTGCAAGAGGCAGTTACCATCCCTGTCTCACTAAATGGGAAAGTGAGGCTCAGAGAGGTAAAGGGGTTGGACTTGCCAAGGCCATGTGGTAGACAAGTTGGGGGCAGAGCACTTATTACATGTATGAGTCTCATTCCACGGTCAGACTGTCTGGATTGGGAACCCAGCTCTGCAACTTGCTTGCCATATAGCCCTGGGAAAGTAGCTTCATCTCTCTGCATCTTAGTTTTTACATAGTTAGAATGGGGATGAGAACCCGACCTCCAGCGTCGGGCTGTTTCAGGGGTTAAATAAGTTAAGATGAGGAATGCACCTAGAACAGCATCTCACATAGTAATTGCTGGGGAAATGGTCCCTGCCATCACTGTTGTGATTACCCTGCATCTCACCACACCCCCGGCCTAGGACAGCTCTCAGCAGGCCAGGGCAATCACTGGTCCCATTGGATAGATGAGGAAACAGGTTAGGGAGGCAGACTGATTTGATGCCAAGTCTGATTCCCTTTGTACCCTGGAAAGTGTAAGGCTGCTGAGAGCCAACCTGGAGATCAGACGTACAGCCTGGTCTCAGTGCAGCCTCCAGGGGGCTGGGTGGCAGTAGGGGTGGGGCAGGACTCGAGCTGCCACTGCTACCTGGGGAAGGGGCTTGCCTGCCCTCTATTTGAATGAGGACCTCCCCTCTCCCACCCCAGGGCTCACCTGGGATCTGCTCCTTCACACAGATGCCTTCCATCTGCTTGTAGCCCTCGGCACAGATGCAGCGATAACCGCCCTCGGTGTTTTCACACTGCTCATTCTCTCCCGGACACACCTCTGTCTCACACTCATCCACATCTTGGGGGAAGGGAGGGGTGAGAGTCCTGCTAAGGCCCCCCACCCAGCACCCTGACTCCATCTTGTCCATCTCTCAACACTACCCTCTGCCCTTGCACAGGCAACATTCCACCCTTCCTTCCCCATATTCCAGCCCCTTCACCATTCATGCTGGGTGAGGCACTCCCAGATGCCTGTGTCCCATCAGCAGGAGACTCACCGAGACACTTGGAGCCCACCTGCTGGTAGCCAGGGCTACACTTCTTACAGCGACCTGGCCCTGCCCCCATGCAGCCTAGGCAGGCCTTGGCACAGTCTGGAGAGGGGAGAGAGATGAGGGTGAGATGTGCTCCTAGGCCCAGGAGAGCCATGCTCCAGAAGAGGAGGCCTGGGGGTGCTCTGAAGCCTGAGAAGGGGAAGGTTTGGAGGGACAGGTGTGGAGCAGCTCCTCCTGCCCTCCTCACATCCCCACTGCAGAAGCAGACACTGACCTCGGCACTCATAGGAGCCCTCAGTATTCACGCAGAATTGGTCGGCTCCACAGTTGGCTCCCTCTGTGCCACACTCATCAATGTCTGCAGAGAGGTGAGCAGGGTGAGAATTTCGATCCCTATTTAGTAGGGAAGCTGAGGCCAGAGCCACTGGGGAATGGTCTTGCCTGGGATTAAATGGTATGGCAGGGACCGCAAGCTGTCTACCAACACAGAAGCAGACGTGCAGCTGGACTTCAGGCTGCCCGGCCAGAGACCACATTTTCCAATCTGTCTTGAAGCTAAGCGTGTCCCTGTGATTGAGTTGTGGCCAACAGGATGTAAACAGGAGTGGTGAGCTCCACTGTTAGCTTGGTCTTAAAACAATGCTTGGACTCCTCAATGCACTTTCTTTCCCTTCTCCCTTCCTGAGTGCTGGGACATGGGACACGGAGATGCCCAGGACTCAGCTTCCACCATGCAGACAATGCCCAAGGGGATGATTGTGCAGGAAGTTAAAGGAATGATCTGGG